AGTAACTCAAGAGGGGGAAGAAGACCAAGTGAAATAATATGTGTTCACATATTATTTCATTCATTTATTCAACACATATTTGTTAATAATACACAACCTATGTGCTGGATATTTTACCAAGATAACTTAAAAATTAATAAGACCAGTATGTCTGCCTGTGGGGAGGTCTACATCTACCCTTCAAGACTAAATCTACAATGAAATCAGCAAATGTCTTATGAGAGTAACAGCCTAGAGTTTGCAGATGCAGTCACCGAGTCTGAATGGCCTCTACACTTCTAAAATTGATCCTCATTCTACCCCTTCTCTTGGGACGGAATATATAAGAAAGTATGGAGATAGGCATGATTGCCTAAGTATGCTTTTGCTTGGGTGGTAAAAGGTTAAAGAGTAAGCCACAGGGGTGAAAAGAGGAAAATTTTTTCATACAGTATGCAGACATGTGGCATTGGGTCATTAATTCTTTGTACCCAAACACTGACATCTGGATTCTTGGAGGTGACTTCTGTGCCTCTGTGAGTGCAGAGACCTCAGGGCGGGTTGTACACGAATCCTCTGTGACCACCTCAAGGCATCTGGCTTTCAGTGCCAAAGGCTTGGGCTCCATTTTCTTCATGGCAAACAAAGTCAAAACCAAACTGAACCAGACCACCCCCTGACCAAGCCCAAACAAAAGCAATCCTGGCCTTTCTTTGTCCTTTGGTTTCATTTCTCACCATGTGATTTCTCTCTGTCCTACTTGCTCCCATTGTGATGACATTTACCCTGAGTCCTAGCCAGAGGCCAACCAATGGTACCATACCCTTGAATAAATCTCTAATCTTCATATGTATTCAGTCTTAGGTATCTTATGGTAGCAATGAAAATCAGACTGATACATGCAATTTCAACCATAAACACTGATAGAGCACCAGAGCTGTGCACTATGTTGTTGTTACTGGAGTCTAATTTACAAAGGATCACCATGCATAGACCTCTCAGGAGCTGACCATCCAGGTCTGCCTGGGGCTCTTAAGGTTTTAGTGCTAAAGAGCCCAAACACTGGGAATCCCTTCATCCTAGACCAACTGAGACAACTAGTCACCCTACATACCTCTGTAAATTTTCTAGTTTTCAGATAATGACCAACTGAAGAGTTACAGTTAATCTCTGAAATAACTACAGCAACAGAAGGATAAAAAACCCAAGAGGATACAGAGCACAATGTACTTAATTTCTGATGAGTGGTAGAGCAAGAGGTATCAGGAGGAGTGAGCATTCCAGCTGAGCCCCAATAGATGAGTGGGCTCCAGACACATTGGGTGGAGCTGAGAAACATTTACATACCTGAGAAATAGCACAGCTGGCAAGCAAGTCACATCTCTAGTCAATGCCAAGTCCATATTCTACTCAGATGTTTCAGGAATGAGAAGAAAATCTATTTGG